GTCGAAAACTGACTTTGCGTAAAAATTCCCGTTTTTTTTTGTTTTTCTCGATTTTTTTGAAAACTGTTGGAAAATGTTTACTTTTTACCTCTATAATGCACCAAGGATCTTCACTTTTACATCGGAAACCACCCCCAAATCATTGTAAAATCAATACATTCATCATTTCGTTCAGAATCTAAAAACATTAAAATAACACCACTTTGAAATCATTAATCGAAGGACTAAATTAAGATCAATAACATTTTATTTAATTCCTAAAAAGTTGGTATACTCATCATGGATACCTCTTAGTGACTTAGCACGGCAAATTACTAATAATCAAGTACACTGATGGAAATATACTTGGAAACTACTGAATTTTAACTGATCAGGTATAGTGAGCGTTACCCACATTTTATATAATAAAACCAAAAATCATTATAAATATATTATTTATCAATCAATTTTAATTATACCTATTACCTATACCCATAGAGTATATAGAGGTGCCCTTATTGAAATAATATGACAAGGAAATGGAAACAAAACAGTGTAGGCAAACTATAGAAAATATTTTATTGTATGTAAATTATAATACTTACAATATTTATTGTATTTTAATTATATTACTTATTACTCATAAATCATAATATCAATTATACTATTGCCCTTTAATCTTTATTTATAATTATCAATATAATATAATATTACTTTAAAATTTAATATTTGAACTATAAGTTAATTAAAATAATAATATACTAAATCATTTGTATACTATATTGTATCTAATATCTATAGGTACCTGTAATAAATTATCAGCTAGTAAGTAATAATATTATTAAATAATTATTTGTTTGGAAGTTATACATTTTAACATGGAATAGATTATGAATATTTAGAAGTTAGATCTGAAGTCCATCAGTTGATTTGCACAAATTAAATAGCATAAAAAAAATAATAATACCTAGTTTTTACAAAATCACTAACATAAGGTAGAACTAGTTAGATAGGTAAGAATTAAAAAAATTCAAAATTAAATAAAAAACTTACTACAAATAATAATAATAATAAAATATAGGTAGGTAGTACTAAATAATTATAGTAGTAATAGTCGATACATATTTTGTGAAAAAGAGAAAATATGATTATTGCTCTTTGAACAAACCCTTGTTCTTTTTATCCAAAATTCAACCATAATGATGAAATTCTGGTTTTTCTCACCACTCTTACATTTAAAACAGTGATAAAATAGTATATAATTGTATTTTACATTAATAATACAACTTACATAGGTCAATCTAAATAAAATAAAATATTCCTACATACCTATGAAAAGTTATATTCTTTTTAATGGAACTTTCATTGTAGGATCTACCGCAGAAAACAAAGATCACCATTTTTAATATAATATAATATATATATTTTATTATACTAAATAAATAATATGTATATAATATTATAACAGTATAATATAAATAATAGTAAATACTATTATAGTAAGGTTAGGTATATAGTAATATCTGGTGAGGAAATTATCAGAACTATCAATACTTAAATTATTGTAATACATCAACATCTTAGGTTTGTTCTTAAAATAGTTTCTGGATAGAAAGTATTAGAAAATATTCAAAATGTTAAATTGATGGGATTTACAAAAATTTGAAAATTAGCGCTACCTATCAATTACATTGTTAGTTATTAGAAATAAAATCCGACATGTTTTGCTTCACATTATTTATAATATTCATTATGATATGGCGCCTTTATATACTTTATACCTAAAAATATTTTTTAGCTAGTATTCAAATGCTTCTTGCACCTGTTGGTTTAATCTTAACTGGAATATTAGCAGATAAGATCGGAAGAAAAAAAGCAATTCAAATATCTTTCATACCGATGATTCTAAGTTGGCTAACACTTATGTTTGCTAACTCCTTCACAACAATTATGATTGGAAAAATATTACTAGGATATCCTTTTGGTAAGTCTCAGTTTCATTTTTAGATACAATATATATATGATTACGCAGGGATTGGAAAAATATTGTTAAGTAACCATTGCCAGCAACTAGCAGAGTAATATAACAAGTTCTGAATATTGTTGTACATTGATATTTAATTTAGCATTCTGCTTTTCGTTCAATGGTTCATTATCGTACAAATTTACAAAGAAGTTCAGCTTAAAAATGTATTTTATGTGCGGTGCTCTGACAATATGATCATTACCAAACTTTACCTGCAATATTTTATAGTTACAGCGTAATTAAATAACAATATTTACATGGCGTTTTGACAGGGGTAGGCAGTTGTATGTGTCTGTACATCGCTGAAGTGTTTCCGGTTCATCTGCGGGCATTGCACACCGCTGGGCCCACGCTGTTTGTAGGCATAGGCATGTTGCTGGAATGCGTCCTGTCCATGTATTTCCGGTTGCAAACAATAACAGGCGTGCTAAGTGCAATGAGTGTCGGTGCCTTCATCATGTTGTTCTGGGTGCCAGAATCGTCCAAGTGGCTCCGATCCAAAGGAAAATATGAAGAAGCTGACAAGGCGGACGCGTGGTTCGACCTCAGCTGCATCAACACAGCCTGCGACCAGTTTGGTGGTGAAAATCCTTCCGGAGAGGGCAAACGCCCTCCAAGAGAGAGTGGAAATCTCTCAGATCAAGCATCTTGTTGGTCATTGTACGCACAGCCAACCGTCTGGAAACCCGCGCTCATCACGATGACGTTCTTTATCTGTCAACACTGCAGCGGTGTGTACGTGATGATGTTCTACAAGGCCGACATGATCCGAGATTTCCAATTGCCGTGGAACGACGTCACCGTGGCCGTATTCCTGGCGGCCGCACGCGTGCTAGGCGGCATCAGCTTCGGCATTCTGCACCATGTCAAGCGCCGTACGATGCTTGCAGTCTCCAGCGCTTTGATGGCCGCTTCGCTGGCGTTCATCATTGCGTACATCTCCGCGTTTCAAAACGTTGAACACCCACCGTACGTCAGCACGCTTGTCTTTGCGTTAGTCGCATTCATGTTCTTCGGTCTAACCGGCGTCGTCCCGCTGCCTTGGGTACTCTGTGGTGAGGTGTTCCCAATAGCAATTGCAGGTAAGCATATAATTATTGTAGAATGTATTATATTAATTATTATAATACCCACGCGTTGTGAATTTTGGAGTCACGAAAAATCATGACTCTCCTTCTGGTATAATATATCTGCAATTTTCAAGTGCTAATCCACGAATGTAAGGTGTCTGGATTTTCTACCTCTGGCAATAAATCTTTAAGAACTGAAAGAAAAAATTTTAAAGGGAAGTCGGTTTACGTACACTTTTCATTACRCTTGTTATTGATATCACTTGATAGGCATTATTATCAAAAGGAGGGGCGGGTATTTATCTGAATTATCTGTATTCAAAAGGAGGTATAATGAAAATAATTTCACAAATAAATAGACACTATTTTCAATAAAAAAAAAAAGTAATCATCAAATTAATAAAACTATAAATTTCCACAGCAAATTACAATAATTCATAATTAATAATTATCAATTACTTGCAATCATAGTCACTTTCTAATAATTTATTTTGATTTTATATACCTAATACAATGGGTACAAGGTACATGGTACATGTATATTATATTATTATGATATAAAATAATAAAAGCATAAGTAGTTAAAATTGTTGTCAAATGTTTACATTGAAAACATGATAAATACTGTAAAATTAAATATATCAATATTCAACATAATATGTAGGTATTGTATATTATGGTAAAATTGTATTGTATCAATATATATTTAATAATATCGAAAAATGAAAATAGAAATAATTTAGCCCTCCTTCTCAATCACCATCTGTGTTATTAATTATTTAGTAGGTATAGTGAGTAATGACTAATTATTTTTTTTTTTTTTTTTTTGTGTATTTGCAGGTACAATGAATGGATATGTTCAGACTTTTGGATACATCTTATGGTTTTTGGTCGTAAAAATGTATCCATTATTAGTGCTACAATTTGGAATAATATGTATCTGGTCAATATTCACTATATTCTGTGGTTTGAACGTTTTATTTGCCATATTTATAATGCCGGAAACAAAAGGAAAATCTCTGGACGAAATCTTATCAAATTTTGAATCAGAAAACAAAAGAACAAAGCTTAACCACGTACCGTAATGATATTTTATAGGTTAAATAACAGAAACTATGTTAAGTCTTATTATATTTTTTTGTTACAGTTTTATTTGTATCTATATTTGAATGTAAAACAATATGTATATAAAACTATACAATTTATATAAATATTGATAGATTTTTAAATCTACTCATTAAATCTTCTTAGTGCCTATCCATATCGTACTATCTATACAAGTAGTTAGGTAGGTTGGTAGGTACATAACTGCAGTAGTTCATAAATGCACGTGTGATGTCTACCTGTATAACATTTAAGTGTAAACAAAGAATGTCCACATATTGTACAACATAAGACGATGATACACATAAAGTTTACCGATTATTTTTAAATAAATTTATATATTTTTATTATATTTATTTATTTGCATGTATTTGTATACATTGAAAATATCACAACATAAACATAATATTTAGATATTTAAAAAGTAAAAATCACACTCATTGAATATTTATTATAATATGATTTTTTTTTATTCATACATAAATCGAAAAAAACTAAAAAGTCGATAATTTCAAATGATTTTTTTGGGTACAAATGTTCATTCGAACATTCCAAAATATGTCATTAATTAAATTATACTAGCTGATCCCAGTGCACATCGTTGACCGTTAAAAAAAGTCTATACAGTATTAACTTATAACTAAGAAACTAAATTTTCACCATAAAAAAGGAGAATTTTAACTGTGTCACAGCGTTCTTATCTTTTCGATAATATCTAGGTATATATTAAATGTTATTGAAGTTTGAAAAACTTAAAAATATCAGATTTTTAAATGTATTATACAATATTTCTTTTTAAAGATATCAAACAAATAAAAACGCCACGGCACAGAAAATATTATCTTCTATATTGTGTTAACTTTTGGTGTTTCTAATAAGAGTATAGACTAAGTAGTTTTATCCCGTACTAAACAATTTTTTAATGCTATACGCACTTGTAAGACGGAGACAACACATGCGGGTATCACGTTCTCTTAATTCGTTACATTATCCATATAAATATAATATAAATAACTAATAGAATTAAATTTAAATTTTAAAATATATATAATTTTAAAAAGTAAAATATTAGAACAAAAAAACATATTATTGATACATATTCATCAATTGAAGTTTGACCACTGTTATAAAATAAAATGTCTAAGATATAATTGAAAAAGAACTAGTAGACTTAGTAACTTTGATAAGTCAAAAGCTTTATATATTTTACAAACGGGCCAACGGGGCTCAGCTTAAGTTATACTTTTTAACATGGATATTATAACATATAGATATCAAGATATCAATTTGGGCGCAGGTTACATTACATTATTTAAACGGCGATGTTCGAATTCTATCCCGGCTAGTAACTATATTAACTAAGGTAACTAAATACAAGTGCCACATCGTCAAGTATAGGTGTTACATTTATATATATATATATATATATATATATATATTATGACTATAGTCATAAACTCATAAGTCGTAGACCGTAACTGGATAGGTAAACTACAAGTGTACAAGTACGGCGTGCGCGTTACATGTTTGATCATCAACAGTCAACAAATAATAATTTATACTTTCATTTCACTTCAGTAAAAAAAAAAAATAAGATAGTTAGATATAAGGCTGCCGGATTCTACATTTTTAAACATCACACCTAAGTTAGAATAGTTACTAACATAGTTATAGGACGGAATTCGGACATAGTTGTTCCACCCTCGGGACAAAATTCGTAGATAAAACGTATAGATAAAAATTCGGGCGCAGTTTCAAAAAAAGGTCATTTGAGCGCAGTTTACGTATGACTAATCGGAACGTGCCACAGATTCAGACAGTTAAAACCAACTAGCTTGATATTGGCTAAATACTTCCATACATTATAGTTATATCTACAATATTCTACATAGCATAGATTAGTTGGTGAAACTCGTTTTGACCTACAGTACCTCCGCAACTAATTACTCAAACACATACAGACACATATGGATAGAGACTTTTCGGCCCATCGAGATTTTAAATTGCTACCGGCTCTCAACAAAGTATCGGCCCATTCGAAAAACATTTTTTTATGATCACTCTTTTTACTTTTAGTATATGTGCTTTAAATAATAATTGTTTCTCTAAAGCACATTTACAAATTACCTATTCAATAGGTACATTACATTAAGTTACTTAGTATACTTCAGTTATATTATTTAAAAAAACGCAAAATATAAGATAGATATTTAAATTATATATTATTGTATTATGTTAAACTGTTGTATAGGGCCCAGCCCGTTAACAAACAAATAAACAAATAAACAAATAATATAGTTAATATAAATTTTTACGCGGCCCACCAAAATTTTCTCGGTAGCTCGCCGGTTCAATCCGGGCCTGCTCAAACATAACTAAAAGTAAAAAAACGTAACAATATATTTATTTTTTTTTTTTTAATTAGTGAATACCCTCGGCAACATGGGCCATTGGGTTGTAACAATATATTATATTCCATTATTTTCGTTTTGTTTTATATTATTCTGCTAGTACAACACAACAACTTAAAAAGTTAATTTTTAAGCTATAGAAGCAATATAAATAATCCGTTAGTAAGTACTTTAAGTACAGGGGTTAAAGCGGGGGGACGCAGGAGGACTCAGTCTCTTTACCTCTGACGGCGGTGAAAAAGCGCCCCCTTTAACAAATTAGGATTTTATACATACAATTATATATGGAACGCTTAAAACTATATGGAGACATTACTACATTAGTCCTCTCTGAAATTTTTTCCCACTTTAACCTCTGTTTAAGTACCTACCCTAATAATATTTAGGTATACTCGGTATAGATGAATGATGAATACCAACTACTAAAAATTAAAACAAACCATATTATAAATCAATACTATTAATACTATTTTCCTAAGGAATAATACTGATTAACCAAATTGAATTAAGTTTTAATACTAAATAGCGTAAATATGGCAAAGTAACAACATTATAATATCTTTGCTCAACTTATAATTTAAATTATAGCAAAGTATGAAAAGGTCGACTTGAATCTGTATGGTGGGAACCTATAAAGCCTATAAAACGTGACCCAACAAATTAGAATTATTTGGTTGAATAAATATTTTAATACCAATATACGATTATGTTAATAGGTAGGACAGGTAGGTACGTTTAAATCCTTAATTACATTTTAGATTAAATAGTTAATTACGAAGGGAATATCGCAGAATGTACGCCAATTATTATTTTATGATTACAAGTAATATTAACATTAAATTTTACAATAAGGTCAATAATTATTGTAAGTAAATACATAATACTTATAATATCACAAGAATACAGTTTATCACTATGAAACTTTAGTTTGTAAATTGTTGTAATTTTTTTTAAATTTAAGCACTTAAAAATTTGATTTATTACTAAATATTAAATACTAGATACATATGACTCGTTTGGTGTAAATTGGTGGCTCCACAGTTCAAGAAAAATTAGTTATTGTACTATCAATAAATATGTTTATCTATTTAAGCGCAGTTGTAAAAGAAAATTAATGATGAATTTGCTGCAAAATTCGAAACAAACAAAGTACTCCCGTGTTCATAGTAAGTCCAATCAACACGAATACAAAATATGAGACCAATATTGAACCATTTGGAATTGATGATAGATCACTTCAAATGCAATTTCTGCATTTAAAAGCAGACTTTTGAACTGGTTCACATACTCAGGAGCAATTTGTAAGAATTTTAAGTTTGGAAGTTATTCAATAATTATTGTAGTTATATTTTTGAAATAATTATTTTATAGTTATTGAACATTATTATTTATTATTAAAATACTTTTACACAGGGGCGTCATTTGGGGGAGGCAGGGTATGCGGTTGCACCCCTTACTTTTAGAATGATACAATTGGCCTGCGCTTAAGCCTAAAATAATGCATGAGCCACGAATACACAATTATTTATATGATTAAAATCAAATTGTAATAACCGGTCTATAATGTATGGAAATAATTGAATGCAGGATACCTAATATACATATACGTATGTATATCTATTTTTATATGGCCTGGTGAAATTTCAAAATGCCCTGCTTGAAACTATTCGCACACTCGAAAAAAAACCTAAAATGACGCCCCTGCTTTAACATGTTTTGTTCAAAGAACATTTGTATGTTTTAATAATAATATGAATAAAATATATTATTTCATGCTTTAAATCGTTTATTTTAAATCGAAAATCAAAAATGTTAATGCGAATAATAATAGTATAATATCCAGACGAAAATCCTTAGTGACTCTTTAAAAACTAGGACATTTTGTAATGTATAACTTTTTGCACTTCCGTCTCAAATCTATACCAACCCGTAKCCTATGATGATGGATCACATTATTATTTATTTATCTACATTAAAAATAATTTTTCAAATACTAAGATTTATCCAAACCAACCAAATCGTCCTGTAATTATTAAGTAGCAAATACCTTTATAATATCATTTAATTTTCGAATTTTTACTAATAAAAATAAATAAAATAACTATTATGCAAAAGTAATACATATACTAATGTATGTATGTGTACTATGTACCTATAATATAATAGATATTACCTAAACAAAATATATTAGGTATGTTAGTCTTATTTAAATAGCAAATGAGAAAATATTGTAGGCCATACTGTATATGGTATATGATTATTTAATTAGAAACACTATCTAATATTAAATTATATAATTAGGTAGTTAGGTAATACATAAACGGATAGGTACTTTTTACCGAGATATTATAAAATAAAAGGACCACGTGTGTAACAAACATTTTTGTTTATCTAAAACAAATTCACCACTTCACTGATCAAACAAATCAAACCCATAATTACAACTGGGATTTTGATGCACTTTACATTGTGATTCAAAGCTCATTTTATAATATATAATTTTCATGTATTATTGAACATTTTGCATTTTTTGACAATTTTCAATTTAAATTACCGGTTTGTTTTTTTTTTTTTTATTTAAGATAAAGGCTTCAACATCTTAGGGTTATTAACCTACAATATTGTAACGAATGAGAACATGCAACATGCAGGAATAAAATATTTACAGTTTATATATATATTAATGTAGAAAAATATATAAATTGCTTCAGTACAATGGTGGACTGGACAACTGGGATATCGGGGAATTTCCGGGTGGACCCCTGCTAGTATAAAATATATATTTATTAATATTATAATGATGAAATTATAAATTAAAATATTATATAATAAGCAATAAGTATGTAATATAAAATATTATTAAACATCAAAACCTAGATTTCTAGTTAGGTATTTAAAAATACGAGACCGGCTTGTGTTTGGCCAGACCTTATTGTTACAATAAG